TCTTTTCTCCTTCTCATTTGATTGCTGCATTTTTCCCACCCTCTCCGACCTGTCTTTGACCACGCATCATTTCCGCATAAACTCCCTATCACACGGCTAACTACCAAGAGAATGACGTCACTGTCACAAAACATCTGCGAGGCGACGTCTTGCTAACCAAACAATTTTTTCTCACTTATATTGCATCACCATAAGTAAATGGCATGATGTCCAAGCCCTACCACTTCAGTAGATTATTGCTTGTCGCTTTCTGTTGGGGGACACTTAGGAAAATAAACAATGAACTTGAAAAGATGTAACGCAGCGCAACCAAATGCAGTGAACCAGCGATGGGGTGTTGCAGCAAACAGCTTGCTTCAAGGGCACGTAACAGGGCCGCAGCTAATTCAACTGGCAAAACAAATCAAAACATATTCATCTGGTGATTTTCTTCTGGTAAATTGTTGGCTGACGCCAATGTTGCTCAATGTAGAAGGTATGCGAAAGAGGTAAAATTTAGCAAATCAATAAGCTTTGAACCAATCTGATCGCAGCCGTTTGATTATCGTTTATAAAGCTAATTACTGGCAATGACGACAACCTACATAAAGACTCTGTCATGAAATAATTTTATAATTTATGAAAAATCATTCAACCGTTTGTACCGATGAGATCTTTGAGCACTGGTCGCTGAAATACACTTTCCTAAACTGCTCCAGAAACGCCAAATATGAATGCTCTAGTTTTTTCGAAACATGACTAGGAAGATGAGAATCCGTCAGACGAATCAGGCCAAATATCCTAAAAAATGAAAGCCATAATCGTCTGTGAGAATTTATTCTTAATAGAAATCATTTGTCACGCTAATATTTAATTACCGTGGTTAATTAATTAACTTAGTTACTGTAGTTCTGTTGATTTCACCGGCCGAGCTAGGCATCCAACACCTCTCTTGGTGGTTCATAGGTCCTGGGATGTTTGAAACTTTTAGACAAAGAAGATCGCACAGTTGTTCTAATTTCTCTTAAGAAAGTCTCAGTAATGAACGCCATAAATTTCAATCTCTGATACGGGATTTACTCGAAATAAACGCAACGCCTTGTTTCTAATCGCATATGGGGACCAATCAAGCAGGCCACGGCTCCATGGTATTTGAGAATTTGCAATGCATTCGATGCAGGATCACATCGCTGAGTTAAACTGAACAATACGTTCTTGCACCAGCTAAATCTGTCACTGTGCAGAGGCAAATAGAAACAAAACAAAATCCCGTTATAGTGTGGGTTTGGGAGACAGAGTGAACAATCGCGGTATCGGTAACCAGTTGCACATCGAAAAATTTCCGCGGAAAATATAATTTTAGAGGTGAAATTGTATATTTATTTTTATAGATTTAATCGAAAAAACCGATAATAAAGTATATTGCGATAAGAACTTATTTAATCATTGTTTTAAAATAATTGGACACTGCCTATTGGGTGTTTCTTGGTCATATACATCTTTATATTTTGTAAATGCAATAAATGAAGATAATTACTTTGTCTTTCCATCCAGTTCATCATTTCACTAATGCTATTCATTACACTGTTAATCTTTGGGATGTCAAACTCACTCATTTCTTCATTCCTGCTGTCATCGATTGATAAATGGTCCTCCTATGCTTTTCCGCGGGTTCTAGAATTCGACCACAATTTCTTCATTTTCACTGTAGAAAGCGACTGGATCTTCATCTTTCAGTGAAAGCGTTGGAACCTTCACGCGCATCATAAATGACACAATTTAGACAATTTTTGTAGGAAGCCACATGTAGTGCCACATGGAATTTTCCAAGGAATGCCAAGACCCAGTAACTTTTTTACGCTACTGCTCTTAGTAGCCTATCACGGTAAATTTGAACCAAGCTGCTTACGTAGAAAATAACTCGCTGTCAGATGCGAAAAGGTGATTTCAAAAAATATAGAGTAAAATTCGAACCAAATTGTTTAAAAACAAATAAATTGAGTTACGAATTTGAAACGAAGTTGCTAACAGAGAAAATAAACAGAATCATTTTGAGGGATATGTCTAGACACGCGGTATATCCGAATCAGCACGTTACAGCGGGGTTTTACCGTACATAAACAAAACAACCTCCATTTTTAGGGTTTGCAACATACAGTAGCTTCAATAATCGCTGTATTTCTTGAAGGTAGTGTCTACAGCGAGAAGGCATAGACCGTAACTTCCTTCCACATAACGGCTCACATTTATTTATCGTCGAAGAATCAAAGAAGCTTACACTGGCAAGGTTTTCACTCACAGTCTTCAAACTATGAGCCCATCACACGACCGACTGGGCTATCCTAACTTGCCATCAGAAAATGCCTCGTGGTCAAAGCAGCTCATTGCCAGTTCTTAAAGTGAGCAGTGACGGATTCTTTTGGAACCATCCGCACAGCTGCAAACAGGGACTACTTCCTACTGATCGTGCATGTCGATCTGCAGCCAACGATTTATATAATTTGCTGCTATAAGTTCCTATCATTCTTTAAGCTCTTATTCCAATTTCACCAAACGACTTCAACTTGGTACAAAACAGTCGCTGCTGAAGTCTACTGTCAGGTGAGTCATGTATTATTAGCAAACTAATGTCTTTTTCTCTGTTACCACTTACATGAAATTAACTGCCATGTAATTCTTTAATTCTTTATTCCGTAGCCTGCGTCTTACTGAAAAGTCTGGTCATCTTTCACTCCACTGTCCGGGTTTGCCAAAAAAATAATTTTTTAACAGTCTAAGCTCATGACTGAATGGGCACTGGTCACCCTCAACCTACTGATAAAGATTGTAGTTTGCTTTGATCGATTAATTTTTAAAAATTTGAGGCAATTTCTCAAAAACGATACAAAACCAAACGCTCTGACCATGAATGATATAATGAAACGCAGATTCTCCCTGTAAATGATTCGACGAACGTTTTTCGAGGTGATTAGGCGTTAAGCATTCTGTTCTGACTTGAAGTACAGTGACGCGACTGCATTAGATTCAGTTGCCATCGCCTTTGTTTTTAACTGTTTCATTCTGTCACTATGTATGACCATGGTTGCTTAGTCGACAGAGCGTCCTGAGAGAACTCGGGTTCGGAGCTCCAGATGTTGTCATTCGCCTTTTTCCATTTGAGGTTGATAAAAATGAATACTATTATACGGAAAGGAAGCACGAGACGACAGACTACTGCTTTCAACATAGCCTTGTTGGGTCTGCCTTTAAAATATGACAATCTGACCAAAGGCAGGAAAAGAAACCAGCTCACCTCCATTAACTTTATAAACGAAGGACGCAAAAAATGAACCTAATATGCAAATATATGGAAGATCGACATTTCAAGCTTCCGATGTTTTCCAATGGCACTATGAAGCTGCTGTTTTTAATAAAATCACGACAGTTTTTCATGATTTTAAGCCTCAAAAGCAACATTCTGACAGACAGCTCATGACAAACTGATTTTGTGCAAAAAAATGAAGCTACTTCTATCACTGAATATTTTATTAAGGAAATTCCTTCGGGCTTGTTCAATAAATACACTTAGTTTCTGTTTTACTGCTAGTAACATGAAATCACAGCAAACAGCTGCCTAATGTCTATTTAAGTTGAGTACTGATATGAGTCACAAAATGACAAAAATCTTAGCAGTTGGTTTGTTATTCAACGTATACCTGCAAATCAAGTCGCCATCTACCGACTCTAGGTCATCCGACGAGCTGAACGCAATGTGGCCGCCTATTGCACTTCCGAAACAGTAAGTCAGCCAAGCCAATTTACCTCAAATGAAGAAAAACAGTCACTCGGAAAAGAACAACGAAAGAACAACATAGAGCAATCCCAGTAACGAGCGGCAGGTCACTGAACTGAAAAAAGTTGGATACTATGGCATTCTGGGGCGGTTAGCACGTTAGCACTTATGAGAACTGACTATCACACTATTACGAGTGTATTTCACCACTTCATACGAAAATCAAACCGCACAAGGCATAACCTATTAAAACATCAAAAATATAAAGATTAAGAAAGAGAATTCATTGTTGTCTTGTCTTCAGACGTTTGCGACGTTGCTGTTAAAAGAATGGTTTATATGAGCTTACGTCCCCACTGCTATCTAAACCAGTCCCCCAAATGAAACATTCCCATTCAGCAATTGCTCATCAAATTTAGCTTCTGATGTTTCTTTCACAAGACGTTCCACTTCAAGCTGCTGGCAGGCCTACATAACCGAAGCCACTCGCTGACATCAGCAGCACAGAATTTACCACTACTGTGGATCACCGAAAGCGTTCAATTAAATGTGCTTAAAAAACTCAATGAATTTTACCAATCCACCTTCTTCGATGTGAATGGTGTGTCTCCACATTCAGCTTAGTAGTAAATACGTAGCCATAATTGTGCATTACACCTATTCCCACCTGTTCATGCCACTGCGACAACAGACAGCGTTGTTTCACTTTTTCTAACTCAGGTGCTGAGCAATTTCAATGCAACTCTAAGTCTTTCAAACACTGGTTAATCTAATAATTCATTCAATTACAGGCTGAACAGAGATTCATCTAACATTCGTCGACCCATAAGTCATGCAGATTTTTACATCATTCAAGCTTCTGTAATTTGGCTGATTAATTAAGCTAGGAAACTACAGCTGTAGCTTCCGCTGCAGGCTGCCTGCAACACATACGCCGTCTACAGATACTAACAGTTTTCAGACCCATTGCATACATTCCAAATACGTAATCTTCTGAGGTCATTCATTTAACTTGCTAATAATCCGCACATCTGCGTGTCTTGAAGAACACAAAGGAGGTCACGACATGTGCATTTATTTTATTTTACACAGATTGAGTAAGCAGTATATATGAGCATAAACGATCGGTATTCAGCAGTCAGAAAGATTCCGCAAATCACATCACTTCCACTCTTACCATTCTTGCCTTCTCTTCTCACAATGTAGGTCAGATATAAAATCGGTTCCACCTCTCTGGAAGGCATCTGAGCAGTGTTTCACTAGCTAACGAGAACTAGATGACGATAACCGCCATTCACGATGGTCAGCGAACGCAGCTGCGTGTCTAGTCATTGCATGGCACTTTGCTTTCCTCCCTTTCCACGATGACATTTTTCACGGAGGTCTGCAGTCTAATTTCTACACTGGAAACGTAGTCTAGATGCAAAACCATCACCATCGTTCTTTCCATGGATCCATGGATCTGTTACAGGCAGCTGGCGTATCCCCCACAAGCCCCATTCTTTCGTCAATGACCATGTTTCGGTTCCGTACTGCATACGGTTATGTGAAAGGTTTATGTCTGTGTAACTCTGCCAGTCGATCTACTTACGATGTTCCTGAGGAAGTAGAATGCGAATAAGACTAACTTTGTTTCCAACTCGATGCAGAACATGTAAAATGAGATAATGTATAAAAAAGGTATCCAAAATCTTGCAACTATTTACAGGTCTCAAACTTTAACCTGAATTCAGCAACAGAGATACGTCAGATCGACTGCCCGTGCGACAGATCATGTTATTACATGCTTTCTCGCTCTTACTTTCCGCGATAGAAATCTCCATTTGATTGGACTGCGACATTATGCGTTGGTAACTTTCAGTGACCTGGTCGAAAAACTGAGCCAGGATTTGGCACGTGTTCTCGTATTCGCATCGGCCGATGACTGACAGCTGTTCCATTTGCGCCTGCAAAACGCCTTGGTCGTCAAGGGGATCTTCATAGCCACTGCTGAAAGTAGAACCATGCAATAACGTGACAATAAACAGAGCGAAAGCATAACAGAAAAATTACACATACCCAATTATCGCGGCGGGAAGATTGAGTCTCGATTCAATATACGCCTTGGTGACCAGAGGTGCACACTCTTTCAACTTGTGAGGTTCACTACTTCGCACGTAAGGCATGCTAGACACCATACGCTGCCAGAACGACAGGAGATAATGTATGCTGTTCGAGGAAAATTGATAGAGCTACAATTAACGAAAACATCAATTGGTGACTCATAAACTAATCAGCACCAGAGAACAACGGTAGATTAAGAAATTGTGGGGAAACAACAACATACAAAAATACAGAGTCTGTAATGGTTTAGAAAGATGTCTTGATTACGCTGTCCTAACAGTTTTGTTACTGCACATATGATATCCACCGATATACGAGGAACCCATCAAACACTGCTGATCTACTAATGAAGTAGAGAGGAGAAGCCATAAAGTAAGCCGGCCTATTTAACTATCTCAGCTAAAACATTTTCAGCGATCCACATCCAATCAGAATTAAATAAGAGGACCGCCCCGAACTCAACGTTTTTCGTAGCCTGCAAAGTACATGGGTTGATAAACGAGTAGCCTCCACCTCGCCTCTGTCAGGTCTATTGTTGAATGCATGAAAACAGTATTTCTAACGAAAAAACTATAGAGATTAAGAAAAAGAGATTAGCCATGATAGGCAAAGTGGATGAGCAGAAACCGTTTGTATCATCTGTGAACTTTTCATGTGGAAAAAGAAGTATGGCAGACGTCTGCGGGGAAGCGAAGGAAGCCGGCATGCAACAAGGAGAAACAAAGTAGAGACAGATCTGCTTCTGAAGAGGAACAACTCCTTTTAAGATGCAGTACCAGTTGCCTTAGGACAAAAGTTTTGAAAAGCAGCGGATACGGCTGACGTCATAAAGAAGAAACGTTCTGCTTATGCAAATAACTGAAAATGATTATCACACACATATGATATACAAAGCAAGGATATATAAATTCCCAACTTGCATAAAGGCAAAAGTAGGATGCCAACGAACGCGCTTACACATTGCAGGTAGTGGAACAGCCTTCAGACATCAACGCAAGACACGAAATCCACTGTATAGTAGAAAAATGCGCGACAATGCGTAGTCCTGTGTTGTTTTGACGCAGAAGATGTGGCACATACTGCTCGAGTGCAGAACAGTGTTGTTGTCAACGACCACTGCTGCGGTCGCAGTATTAAAAATGCGTAACTGGACAGTGGTCATCTGCATCAACAACTGATTTATGATATCATATTAAATATCAACGGAACGCTCCGATAAGTGAAGTACGACGACAATTCATGAATTTCTGATAACGATTTCACTGCTGTGATTATGCGAGTTGGCAGATGGTTATTTGTACCAACTACTTGACTTCAGCCCTCATGTCACCTCTCCATAGAAAACTACCTAGAGTACCAACCTTGCGCAGTGTATACAGCAAGAGCCAAATGCCGACATGCAAAGTGGTGAAAGAAAGCAAAAAAATAATTGAGATAGATGTCTGCAAAATGCAATGATTCCAACCCTCAGCTAAAAAGCTACTCACCGACTTACAGGTCTGACCCAGCCTATATTTAAATTTTACTGACAATTTAGCGGATTTACACAGTACAGACGCGCCAACCCTTGAGTTCCAGTAGTCCAAGGGGCCATTTAAGCAAGTTTTATCACAGTCCCTTGGTAGTTGAGTACTTGCAGTTCATGAATGCAAAACGGCTCCCTGAGCACGGCCGGACAAACCCTGTTCAGACAGCTAATGAAGTGCCACCTTTAGTAGGCAATTATATACAGAAGTATAATGCTGATTTTGCCTCCGGATATAGTGGTATTTCAGTATCCGAACCGGATTCTGTTCGGCCCTGGCCAGTGATGCAGTTCCGCATTTATGTACCACAGGTGCTCAAACACAATGGAGCCGTTACCTGTTTACACAGTCTCATGGACAACTAGAAGTAAGGGATGGTGCATCTACGCCGTTTAAATCCAGACAACTGACAGGAGACTGCCATCCTTACCCATGGCATCGAAAAAATAGCGATTTCCTAGTATATCCATATAAACATGAACTTCAACTAATTCGAAATTTACAAAAAACTATTGTCCATTAGAAGAAAATATATACATCAGTTTAAATATCACATTTAAACATTTCAGAAAGTTTAAATGGATGTTCATGTTTAAATGGATGTATAATACACAATACCACAGAGGTATAACACAAGCAGACAAACTAATGTTCATGGGTAAAGCGCAATTTGAAGTAGGCGAAAATAACGTGAATTCACCTGTAAACTAGTCACGGTGAACTCTGTGATGAGCTGCAGGAACTTTGGATACGCTTCAACCTTCAGCAGTTCGATCAGCTGATAGTTGCTCTTTATTCGCGCCACCAAACGACAGAATTCGTGATAGGCCGAAGGCTCTGACAAACCCTAAAACATAAGTCAAATAAACAAGAAACAGGAGAATAATTCGAATCTTCCTTTACTGCACTGACATCATAAAGCAACATTTGACCGCCTTCGTCGTACTCTTACTGATGCCTAACCATCAATATTTGAATTATTTCAATCCAAAAAAGAATTCTCTCCGCTTTACACTATCATCAGGGATACCCTGTAACATCGGTGATGCACTTATTCGATGCAGCATATGGATTCATTCCAAAGAATCGGTCAAAATGAGCTATCACCTTAATAAAGACAATTCTTATAGCTGTATGGGCAGCACAGCGAGTAGTGAGTAGGGGCCAAATTCCCTCTCACCGAAAAGGTTACTCGTTTCTTCATGAAAGTTTGCCTTGTCAGGACTGAAACTGGATTTGAATGACCAAACCCCCATACTCTAAATGTCAACGAAGCCCCGTCTTCGACTAGAGCACCCTACGAATAAATGCAAGATAATTCACTTTTGTTACGGGGTTGAAGAAACGGATTTTCTAATGAAAGATATTTCATTGCTTTCAAAACATTTAACTTTTTACTCTGAGAGTTCTGGATTGCCAGATTTTGGGCCGATAATTCACAACGGATTGCTTTCTTGATGCGTGGTTATAAAGTACAAACATAAAAGTCTGAACCCTCGGAATAATTAAACTATATAAACCCGGCTTACCACAAGACCTCGTTATTCCTGAAACTGGTACGATAACCCACTGGTTTGGCAGAATTGTTTTATTATTGAAAAGAGCATTCAGTAAGACGAAATACAGGATAAATGCAGAAATAATTTTATCAAGTGCGAGAAAATCGGGTCGGGAATGCCACGCGGGGA